TTGCTTTATAGCCCCCTTTAAATGGTTTACAGAGTCAGCCTATTGCCCCCCAACAATCTGGGTCCTCATTTTACCCACCTCGGAAGGATGGAAGGCTGAGTCAACCTGGAGCCGGTCAGGATCGATCTGCTGGCAGTCGGCAGAGTCTGCCTGCAGTACTGCAGTTTAACCACTGTGCCACCAGGAAGGAGAATGAAAAAGGGAATAAGAGAGGAAGGAAGGGAGGAGAGGGGGAATAGCAATAGCACTTAGAGTTATTGTATATATTACTTTGTAGTGCTCTACCAAATTTCATTTTTCAAACGTTTGCTCAACCTCAACCCAGCCAAGTTACACTTACACTGACAGCCAAGAGGCTGCTCTATGCTTAATCCATAATAGCCTTCTTTGCAGGTGTCACAACGTTCCCCTTCAACAAAAAATTTGCAGCGACATTGTCCCGCGATGAGGCCGGCTGAGTAGTCGGTGTATTGATCGCAGATTCCGCCATTCTCGGAGCCAACCGGGTCACAGTTGCAGGCTAAATGAAGAAACACATTTTGTAATGCACTCATGCCGCTGTATATGAACCCATACAGGTGGTAGTCCTCGACTTACGACCACAACGGAGTCCAGTATTAAGGAATGGACATTAGCAGGAAAAAAAAGCAGGAAATGGGTATTGCAATCATCTATTATAACCGTGATGGCGAACCTATGGAAGGCGTGCCACAGGTGGCACGCAGAGCCATTTGTGCTGGCATGCGAGCCCCAGGCAAACTTACCTCACTGCGCATGCGCATGCCTCCCAGAATGATTTTCGGCCTCCCAGAGGCTTGAGGGAAGCCTCTGCAGCCTTTGTAGGCCGAAAACCAGGCCCGTTTAGTCACTTCCTGTATTTCCGGAAATACCGGAAGTGACTAAACTTTGGGCCTGGTTTTCAGCCTACAATGGAAGTTTGACAAAAATCAGCTGGAAGGTGCAGTGCAGGTAAGGGGGCAGCGGGGGGGGGATCATGCCTTTATGTGCAGGGGGCA